AGATAAAATTCTTACACCCTTTCTAGTGGGTATCTTTCTCCTTATTCCAATAGCCAAGAAGATACTGTGGAAGTTTACTTTCTGTAGATTATATCACGAAAACAATAGTCCCCCAAGCTAATTTTCCAAAATTAAATAATAATTCTAAGTATGCTTGTTTGTACACAGTACAGGACTTTCTGAAGCCACAGGCCACCTCCAGTCCTGGTCACTGATGCCTGGGGTCCTTCTCTGGCTCTCAATTAAAAGCTGTAGTATAGTGACTGAGTACCCCAGTTCTGGACACAGCCTGGGTGAGGGATGCCAGATAAAATACAGGGTGTTCTGGGGAGGTGGCTCACACCTGTAATCCCAGCACTTTGGGAGGCCAAGGTGGGTGGATCACTTGAGGTCAGGAGTTCAAGACCAGCCTGGCCAACATGGCAAAACCCTGTCTATACTAAAAATACAAAAATTAGCCTGGTGCGGTGGTACATGCCTGCAATGCCAGCTACTTGGGAAGCTGAGGCACAAGAATCACTTGAACCGAGGAGGCAGAGTTTGCAGTGAGCCAAGACCACGCCGCTGCACTCCAGCCTGGGCAACAGAGCAAGACCCTGTCTCAAAAACACACACACACAAACACACACACACACACACACACACACAGTGTCCTGGAATTTATTTCCAGATCTGGCAACCCTAACCTAGGTTCACATTTGGGCCTCTGCTTCCAGGAAGTGTGACTATGAGCACAATCTGTCTTTCCTTTTTTCTTTTTCTCACCCTCTTTCTCTTTCTTCTTCTTTCCTTCTTCCCTCCTTGCCTGCCTGCTTTCTCTTTCTTTCGTTTTTCTTTCTCCCTCTCCTCTGCTCCACTCCCTCCTCCTTCCTTCCTTTATTCCTTACTTCCTCTCTCCTTTTCTCTCTCTTTCTTTCTTCCCTAATTGTGTCAAATGCATCAATCTTAATTTTAAATATGCAGCTTGATGAATTTTTACATATGCATAAACTCCTGCAACCACTACCCAGATTAAGGAGCACATTTCCAGCATCCCAGAAAATTTTCTTATGCCTCTTGCTGGTCAGTATCTCCCGCAGAGGTAACCACTCTTCTCATAGCGTCTGTTATTGTCAATCAATTTTGTATGTTCTTGAATTTCATAAAAATGGAAGTATGCAATATGAGTTCTTAAGTGTCTGGCTGCCGCTTCTTAACCTAATGATTGAGATTCATTCAGGTTGCTATATATAACAGTATTTTTCCTTTTCATTGCTGTATAATATTCCATTGTGTGAATTTTTTTTTTTGGGAGGGGGCGGGGTTGTTTCCTGAAAACACCACAGTTTGTTTATCCATCCTCTGTTTCATAGATATTTCAGTTGTTTCCTAAGGGTCCACTAAATGAACACCCTTCTTGGCAAAGGGAACCCCAGAAAAACTTTAAAAATTGTTTCCAGCTATGATGGGACAGGAGGTCAGACACACCACATTATACTCCCTTCCTTCCTTTTGTGATTTAGATACAAGAACTGATCAACATTAATGCTAAAATAGAGGGCTGGGTATGGTGGCTCACACCTGTAATCCCGGCACTCTGAGAGACTGAGGCAGGCAGATCACTTGAGGCCAGAAGTTTGAGACCAGCCTGGGCAATATGGTGAAACTTCGTCGCTACAGAAAAATTTTTTTAAAAATACAAAAATTAGCCAGGCACCGTGGTGTGTGTCTGTGGTCCCAGCTACTGGGGAGGCTGAGGTGAGAGGATCGCTTGAGCCCAGGAAGCAGAGGCTGCAGTGAGTCATGATCGTTCCATTGCACTCCAGCATGGGTAATAGAGTGAGACTGTGTCTCAAAACAAACAATCAAACAAACAAACAAACAAACAAGAACCATAAGACTGACAGAACAGACTTTTTGTGGTGATAAGATACTAAATTATAAACATAGCCTAAGGCCATGTCAGGCAAGAGTTAAGTCAGGTGCCCCTACTCTTAAGGAATAAACTATGTTCTAATTACGTTACAAGATTTTTCTTTTTCTCTAGCTGCTAAACAAGCACTGGCCTCAAGAGAAGCAATATTAAAACAGTTACAACTCATCCATCTCACAGACCCCCAAATGACACCCTGTTCCACCAGTCATAACTACAGCTTTGATTGAACAAGTGACTGATTTCAGTAACTTTCTCCTAATAAAAAGATCACTGACCATGGACTGCATCTGGTGGGATTACAGAAACCGCACTCTCACGTGCCTGCATTTCCTGAAAAGACCTTTTGATATGTAGGTTCTTTTATTTTTATTTTATTTTATTTTACTTTTTTTGAGACAGTGTCTCACTCTGTCACCCAGGCTGGAGTGCAGTGGTGCAATCTCAGCTCATTGCAAGCTCCGCCTCCTGGGTTCACAACATTCTCCTGCCTCAGCCTCCCGAGTAGCTAGGACTACAGGTGCCCGCCACCACGCCCGGCTAATTTTTTGTATTTTTAGTAGAGACAGGATTTCACCATGTTGGCCAGGATGGTCTCAATCTCCTGACCTTGTGATCTGCCTGCCTCAGCCTCCCAAAGTGCTGGGATTACAGGCATGAGCCACTGTACCCGGCCAGATGTGTAGGTTCTAATTGTAATACATTGATTGATTGACTGATTGATTGATTGATTGAGACAGGGTCTGACTCTGTTGCCCAGACTGGAGTGCAGTGGCACAATCACCACTCACTGCAACCCCTGCCTCCTGGGCTCAAGCAGTCCTCCCACCTCAGCCTCCCAAGTAGCTGGGACTATAGATGCACACAACTGCACCCAGGTACTTTTTGTATTTTTTGTAGAGACAGGGGTTTCGCCATGTTGCCCAAGCTGGTCTCAAACTCCTGGGCTCAAGCGATCCACCCACCTTGGACTCCAGAAGTGCTAGGATTACAGGCATGAGCCACCAGGTCTGGCCTAATTGTAATACATTTAAATGTTAAGTCTTCACCCCAAAGTGAACATGGGTGGTATGTCACATGCACGTTTGTTCATACACATGTGTTGGAGCCATCTTCAGAAATATTCATAGTTTCTCCTGTAACCTGCTAATTATATCATTCAGCCAACCCCTTCGGCACAAAGCTCCTAACCCAGCCCCTCCTCCTTCAAAGTGCCTGTCTCTGGTCTTGGCGGGAGGCATACTTCCCAGCCTGTGGGCTGGTCCTTGCAGGCTATAACTCCTTATAAGAAATAAGGTCTCTTCTCCTCTATGAATTTACACATTTGTGATTTTTTTTTTTTTAAGTTAACAGGGGCTATGAACATTCTTACAGAAGCCTTTTATCTTTTGATTGATGTATGTTTTCATTTATCTTGGGTATATATATAGGCGTGGGCATGATAGATATTAGGATAGCCATCTTTAACTTCAGTGGATGCTAGAGCAAGTTTCTGAATTTTAGCCCTGAAGTGGGGATGATAATAACAGCACCTGCCTTATAGGGCTGTTTCAGGATTCAAAGAGAAAATCTGGGTAAGGCAGAGTGCGGTGGCTTAGGCCTATAATCCCATCACTTTGGGAGGCTGAGGTGGGCAGATCACCTGAAGTCAGGAGTTCGAGACCAGCCTGGCCAACATGGTGAAACCCTGTCTCTACTAAAAATACAAAAATAATGAGCCAGGCGAGGTGGTATGCACCTGTAATCCCAGCTACTCAGGAGGCTGAGGCAGGAGAATCGCTTGAATTTGGGAGGCGGAGGTTGCAGTGAGTCGAGATGGCACCACTGCACTCCAGCCTGGGCGACAGAGTGAGACTCTGTCTCAGAAAAAAATAAAAAAGGAAATCCAGGCAAAGTATTGGTGCACCAAAATTTATAAAATGTATATTATTGCTGGGATGGCAGTGGGGAGCCTGAAGATATTGGGCTTTTATGAATGTTGAAGTGCTCCTATGACGAATTAAACACACAGGGAACTTTATAAGGCCACATGATATATAAGTGATACTTGACTATTGTATTAAAATTCAAACTAGTTAGACATAAAATAAAAAGTGGATTTCACCCCATCCATTTTTTATTATTGAAGAAAAAAAATATGTCAGAGTGTGGTGGCTTATGCCTATAATTCTAACCCTTTGGCTGGGGTGGGATGATTTCTTGAGACCAGGAGTTTGAGACCAGCTTGGGCAAAATAGCAAGACCCTGTCTTTACAAAAAATAAATATTTTGACTGGGTGTTATGGCATGAATCTGCAGTCCTGGCTAGGCCAAAGCAGAAGGATTGCTTGAGCCCAAGAGTTCAAGGCACCACTGCATTCTGGCCTGGGTGATAGAGTGAGACCCTGTCTCTCTCTCTCCCTCTCTCTTTTTTGAGACAGAGTCTCACTCTGTCACCCAGGCTAGAGTGCAGTGGCTTGATCTTGGCTCACTGCAAACTCCGCCTCCCAGGTTCAAGTGATTCTCTTGCCTCAGCCTCCCGAGTAGCTGGGATTACAGACATGTGCCACCACGGCCAGCTAATTTTTGTGTTTTTAGTAGAGACGGGATTTCACCAACCTGTTAGCCAGGCTGGTCTCAAACTCCTGACCTCAAGTGATCTATCCACCTAGGCCTCCTAAAGTGCTGGGATTACAGGCATGAGCCACTGCACCTGGCCTGACCCTGTCTCTTTTTTTTTTCCTTTTTCTTTTTTCTTTTTTATAGACAGAGTATCGCTCTGTAGCCCAGGTTGCAATGTGCAGTGGTGCCATCTCGGCTCACTGCAACCTCCGCCCCCCGGGTTCAAGCAATTCTCCTGCCTCAGCCTCCTGAGTAGCCGGGATTACAGGCACACCCCACCACTCCCAGCTGAGTTTTTGTAATTTTAGTAGAGACGGGGTTTCGCCATATTGGCCAGGCTGGTCTCAAACTCCTGACCTCAGGTGATCCACCCACCTTGTCCTCCCAAAGTGTCAGGATTACAGGTGTGAGCCACTGTGCCTGGCCGACCCTGTCACTTAAGAAAAAAGGAAAAAATACTAAGCAGTGAGTATTTTGCATGCATTTTCTTATTTCATCTTCGCCTTTTAATTTGATGATACTAAAGGCAGGTGTTAGAGGCCGGATTGCTAAAGCTGATCCAAAGAATGCCTCCCTCAAGGCTGGTTGATCCCTCTCTCTCAGGCCTCAGTCTTCCCATCTGTACAGTGAGGTGCCTGCAGATCTCTGGGCTCTAAAAATCACAGCTCCACGTCTATCCCTGGCAGAGGAAGGGCCTGGAGTCCTGCCGCTTGCGTCTCTGGGATACGGGAGCAAAGAGCCACGCATCCCCATGGCCCACACAGGCGTCACCTCCAGTCCCTCCTTGGCCTCATCTCCCCAGCGTCCTGGAATGGCATCGGGTTGGCCCAGGGAGCCCCTGTCCTGCGCCTCTCCTTTCCCCTCAGGGGCTGCCAGGCTGACCACCCCCTCTCTGCAGGCCAGGCCTCCAGTGCACCAGGGAACGGCCCGACCCTCCCCCAGGGCGGCAGCAGGAAGAGGGAAGAAAGGGGATCCTCTCCAGCTGGCCAGAGGAACAGATCTTCTTGTGCTCATCAACCCTCCAAGAATGCCCGTCCTCCCTCCCTCCCCCGAGGCCTGTCCACTGGAGCTTGAGATCAGCCAGAAAAGTCAGGCAACTTTGCAGGGACCGGGAGCAAGGTCTCCCGGCCGGGCCTGGGTCCAGTCTCTGCGGGCAGTGCAGTGCTGAGCCCCACCCCTCAAGCCGTGCCCTGTCCATAGCTCCAGACTTTGACCCTGCGCTCCAGTCCGGGCTGGCGGACAGAGGGCTGCAGACAAGACGCCCCAGCATCAGGAGCTTCCCCTCAGGAAATAGCATCCTGTGTCCCCGCACGGCAGTTATCTGGTCTCTCCAGCAGTTTGGTACTTCCGGTGAGTGGCAGATGCACCTTTGAGCTGGGGGCAGGGGTTGGGAGAGGGGAGAGGCAAAGGATTTCATGTCCTCCCAATGTCAAAGACAGGGCTCAACATTACAGCCTAAGGCAGGTGACAGGAAAGGAGAGATCCAGCCTCTCAAACATCCAACAGAGAGACCATAGGTAAGTGATTTTTCCCTCCCCAAGCCTCAGTTTCTTCATCTGGAACACTGGGATCATAACTCCCCTCTTAGAGGGTGAATCTGAGTGTTAACAGAGGTGGTGCATGTGAAGTGCTTAGAACAGATCTAGGCAGGTAGCAAGGACTCAAATGATAGTTATTATTATTTTTGGTGGGAGAATTGTTAGCCTGGTTCTCAAACTTTTATAGCTTCTGTTCCATTTCAAGAATAAACTCTGCAAATAACTTCATAAGAAGTAGCCAGGTGGTGCAACCAGGGAGAATGAATTATGTTCATTCAAATGCCTCATCTCTGGCTTACTGATTTTTTTTTTTTTTAAAACAAGTCTTTCATATTCTTTGCTGTGCACGTAACAATCAAAGCCATCAGCTGTCTCAGATTGCCTTCTAGGAGACAAGGGAGGTCCTAGGCAGATAAACACAAGACTGAAAGACAAGCAGAAAGCGTCAGGTGGCAACTGCATGCCGACTGCCTAAATATTTTTTTAGAGCAACGCAGAAAGTGCTGATAGAACTGGGTCTGGATCCGAATGCTGTCCCATACTGACTGTGTAACCTTGGGTGGGTGACTTCTCCTCCCTGAACCTCAGTCCCGCCTCCAGAATGAGGGCAGTAACCTTCCCTACTTCCTACAGCAGTTGAGAGGATTAAGAGGATTACGTCTGTGCTGCATCTACATGTGTCTGGCAAGTGGCAGAGACCAAAATACGTTGGTTCCCTTCTTGTCCCATGCTTACACAGACATTCTAATCACACACACACACACACACACACACACACACACACACACACAACTATAATAATCCCAGCTGTTTGCATCTTCTGGGATGCATACTCCAAGCTTGCTGGGTTGAAGTAATGGTGTAAAACAGAGGAGAATGGCAACGCTAATAAAAACATCAGCAACAACACGAAAATGTCCAACCGAGTAACTGAGCTGGGTGCGTTTAAGTCCAAAAGCTCATTACCTACACGCATGAATGATTTTACCTGAGGCTGGATCTGCCAGATCTCACAATGTGGCTCTGGCTTGTCGTGAGGACCTCATGCATTTTGCATTTATTTTGCACTTTAACACACACACACACACACACACACACACGTTGCAATAATCAGTGTCAACTTTGACTCATACAGTGAATTTTTTTTTTTTTTTTTTTTTTGAGACGGAGTCTCACTCTGTCGCCCAGGCTGGAGTGCAGTGGCCGGATCTCAGCTCACTGCAAGCTCCGCCTCCCGGGTTCACGCCATTCTCCTGCCTCAGCCTCCCGAGTAGCTGGGACTACAGGCGCCCGCCACCTCGCCCAGCTAGTTTTTTGTATTTTTAGTAGAGACGGGATTTCACCGTGTTAGCCAGCATGGTCTCCATCTCCTGACCTCGTGATCCGCCCATCTCGGCCTCCCAAAGTGCTGGGATTACAGGCTTGAGCCACCGCGCCCGGCCCCATACAGTGAATTTTTAAAAAAAGATAATTAACTTTGGACTCACATTTTTTTCCTTTTAAATTCCTTTTTTTTTTAGATGGAGTTTTTTTGTTTTTTTTGTTTTTAGACAGAGTTTCACTCTCGTCACCTGGGCTGGAGTGCAACGGCATGATTTCGGCCCACTGCAACCTCCTCCTCCCGGATTCAAAGGATTCTCCTGCCTCGGCCTCCTGAGTAGCTGGAATTTCAGGTGTGTGCCACCAAGCCTGGCTAATTTTTTTGTATTTTTGTAGAGACAGGGTTTCGCCATGTTGGCCAGGCTGATCTTGAACTCCTGACCTCAAGTAATCTGCCAGCCTCGACCTCCCAAAGTGCTGGAATTAAAGGCGTGAGCCACCGTGCCCAGCCTTTTTGATTTTCCATTCTATTCCCACCAACACTCTAAAAATTCCTACAGACATTTTATTTTATTTTGTATTATATTATATTATATTATATTATATTATATTTTTGAAATGCAGGACTCTGAAGCTTCGGTTGTTCCTCTTTACCTGCTTGATTCTCAGATTTTTCAAACCGTGTGATTTACTGGCAAGCACGGCCTTTAAGCACATAGACTTATGAGCCAGGCTGGCCTGGGCTCTGCCTCTCGCTGCCTGGGTGTCCAGGAGCTGATATTCCAGTGAGGAGACAATAAGGCAAGGAACTTTGTCAGTTCTCATAAAAGTTTATAGATGAGGTTGGGCATAGTGGCTCACTCCTGTAATCCTAGCGCTTTGAGAGTCTGAGGCCAGCAAATCACCTGAGGTCAGAAGTTTGAGACCAACCTGGCCAACATGGTGAAACCCCGTCTCTACTAAAAATACAAAAATTAGCCAGGTGTGTTGGCACATGCCTATCATCCCAGCTACTCAGGAGGCTGAGGCAGGAGAATCACTTGAACCCGGGAGGCAGAGTCTGCAGCGAGCTGAGATTGTGCCATTGCACTCCAGCCTGGACGACAAGAGTGAAACTCTGTCTCGGAAAAAAAAAAAAAGTTTATAGATGAGGAAACTGAGGTTCAATTAGGATTAACCAGCTCATCTTGGTTTGCCTGAAACTCTGATGCACTGACTTTTAGTCTGAAAGGCTGCATCCTGGGAGGACCCTCAGTCCTGGGCAAGCTGGGGAGGTTGGTCACCCTCACTCAGTCAAGTTGAGCAACCTGCCCAGGGTTACATGGCTGGTGTGTGCCCAAGTCAGCCTGCGAACCTGGGTCTCTCTGACCCTCAGCCTGGGCCATAGTGTCTCTTGGATTTATCATGGAGAATCTGGAGAATGCAGAAAGCCCTTTATTCCTCTGCCTTCTCATTGTTAACGTATAAAAATGGTCAAGAGGGCAAGTGCAGTGGTTCACACCTGAAAGCCCAGCGCTTTGGGAGGCTGAGGTGGGAGGATCACTTGAGCCCAGGAATTGGAGGTGGCAATGAGCTATGATCGTGCCACTGCACTCCAGCCTGGGTGCCAGAGTGAGACCTTGTCTCTTAAAAAAAAAAAAGAAAAAAAAGTGGTCAGCTCTCTGGAAATTATGCAGAGACAGTCAAAAAGCCCAGAGAGGGAGAATTAACTTAGCCAAGGTCACACAGCAAGGCAGAAGTGAAGCCAGGTCTGACTCTACCTTTCTCTTCTTTTTTTTTTTTTTTTTTTTTTTTTTGGAGAGAGTCTGTCTGTGTTGTCCAGACTGGAATGCAGTAGTGCGAACTCGACTCACTGCAACCTCTGCTGCCCGGGGTTCTTCAAGAGATTCTCCTGCCTCAGCCTCCCGGGTAGCTGGGATTACAGGTGCCTGCCACTGCGCCCGGCTAATTTTTGTAGATTTTAGTAGAGACGGGATTTCACCATCTTGGCCAGACTGGTCTTGAACTCCTGACCTCGTGATCCACCTGTCTCGGCCTCCCAAAGTACTGGGATTACAGGCGTGAGCCCCTGAGCCTGGTTCTCCCTCTGTCCTTTCGTTCCTGCAATGTTTTTGTTCTATGTGATTTTTCAAAGTTCTAGGAGACAGAAGGAGGCTGCTGTGTGTTGATGGCCTACTCTGTGCCAGGCATTGTACCGAGAACTTTTGCTAAACTTCTTATTTAACCCTTAAAATGACCCTGTAAGATTGGGATTACCCCCTTTTCGCAGATGAGGAGATTGTGTCTCCAGAGGCAAAGTATTAGAGAAGAGGGAGGAGAGGAGGCCAGGAGTCCCTGAGAGGGGCTGTCTCCTAAGCCCCAGTATCCAAGCTAAGGCTCGAAGCTGGAAGAATTGCCTAGAGGAACGATACCTTTCTGTTTGTTGGTTCTATCTCCAACTTGGCTTCTGAAACCCCAACAGAGTCCAGTTCTTGTGGACTGGAGCCGTTTTTCCCTCCTCTATAAAACTAGGCCATATTAAGAGTGTCCCGCTGTCCAGGGCCACAGGCCCAAGTTGCCAGGAGCTGAGGTCTGCGGGAGGAGAGTTGTGAGTGAAGAGGAGGGAAAGTTGAATTTGGCTCTTCTGAGCACAAACAATTCTCTTGTTCTGCCTCAGCAGGAGCCTGCAGAATATTTCCCTGCTGTGCAGGCTTAAGTAGCTTCAAGGTTAGAAGCTGGTAGGCCTTCTAAACTTCTCAGGGCCCAGTTAGCCCTGTGCCCCAAGGCAGGTGGGGTTCTGTGCTGGAAGACCAAGTTCTGAGGCCAGACACTGTGTCTGTCATGCTCATAGCTGCATTTGCTGGCTGCCAGCCTGGCATATGGTAGGTATGCATTAAGCGTGTGTTGAGTTTGCTCAAATTGAAATTAAGTCACAGCTGCACCATTTAACTGGCTGTGTGACTTCAGGTAAGTCACATCACCTCTCTGAATGTCAGTTTCCTCCTCTGTAAAACGGGGCCGATAGCAGCAGCCCCTACCTCATAAGAGTGTTGGGAGACTTGGAAGAAGGGATGCCTGTGAAGTGCTTAGCCAGGGCCAGCTGGCTCACAGTACGTGCTCCACAAATGTCAGTACATTACTTCTTTTTCATCAGGCAGCTTGTTAAATTTGTTACTTTTGGCATCTTGTTCAATTTCTCATCCATCCTCTCAAGTATGGATTATTAGAGGTTGAAGCATCTTGCCCAAGGTTAACGGCCAGTAGGTGGCAGAGCTGAGTCCTGAAGCCAGAGCCCATCGCACTAACCACCAGCCTACAGTTGGTCATGCGCTCTACTGGGTCTTTTCTATTCCTAGCCCAGAAACTACGTGTCTGGGGATGCTCCCCAGAGAAAGTTGCATCATTTACCAGCCGTGTGACTGTGGCCAAGTCTCGATCGCTTCTCCATACCTCAGGGTTTCCATTTGCAAAATGGGAACAATGATATTCCTTCCTCCTAGGGATCATCAGGAAGATCAAATATAAAAAGGGCTTGGTGGTGTCTGGCACTTTCTAAGCCTTCAATGGATGGTGGCAATGGCAGTGAGGATGATGGAGATGATGGTGATGATGGTGTGCCTCAACCCTTCCTTCCCACAGGCTGGTACCATGCGTGTGGTGGTGATCGGAGCGGGAGTCATCGGGCTGTCCACCGCCCTCTGCATCCATGAGCGCTACCACTCAGTTTTGCAGCCACTGGACATAAAGGTCTACGCGGACCGCTTCACCCCACTCACCACCACTGACGTAGCTGCCGGCTTCTGGCAGCCCTACCTTTCTGACCCCAGCAACCCAAAGGAGGGGTGAGTGAGGGTCACATAGGGTAGCCTGGGGAGCCCATGGGGCTAAGTCTGCAGAGGGGGTCAGGGTTCCCATCACCAAGAGCAAGCCCCTTGTGGAAGCTCTGGTCTAGCATAAGATAAAGAAAATGCCAGGCATGGTGGTTCACGCCTTTAACCCCAGCACTTTGGGAGGTCGAGGTGGGAGGATCACTTGAGGCCAGGAGTTCCAGACCAGCCTGGACAAGGTGGCGAAACCCCATCTCTACCAAAAATACAAAAAATTAGCTGGGCATGGTGGCGCACGCCCGTAATCCCAGCTACTCCAGAGGCTGAGGCAGGAAAATCATTTGAGCCCAGGAGGTAAAGGTGGCAGTGAGCTGAGATTCTGCCACTGCACTCTCAACAGAGTGAGACTGTCTCAGAAAGAAAAAAATAAATAAAAGATTCATAAATATTAAGCCCCTTGCTCTGTGCCAGATACTAGGAGGTTTTGTCTCGTCTCCCCGAAACTGGGTGCCTGTCAATACCACATGGTTGGTGAATCTGGAAAACTTCCTCTTTTTTAGTTTATAAATTTTTATTTTTATTATTATTATTTTGAGATTGTGTTTCACTCTTGTCGCCCAGGCTGGAGTGCGATGGCATGATCCTGGCTTACTGCATCCTCTGCCTCCTGGGTTCAAGCGATTCTCCTGCCTCAGCTTCCCAGGTAACTGGGATTACAGGCATCTGCCACCGCGCCTGGCTAATTTTTGTACTTTTAGTAGAGATGGAGTTTCACCATGTTGGCCAGACTGGTCTTGAACTCCTGACCTCAGGTGATCTGCCTGTCTTGGCCTTCCAAAGTGCTAGGATTACAGGCATGAGCCATCGTGCCTTGCCAAATTTTATTCTTTTTAAATAGAGATAGGGTCTGTCTGTGTCACCCAGGCTGGTCTTGAACTCCTGGGCTCAAGCGATCTGCCCTCCTCACCCTCCGAAATTGCTGGGATTACAGGTGTGAGCCCTTGCACCCAGCCGAATCTGGAAAACTTTTAAGTGGGTGAACATCTAAGTGGGTGGATGGATGCACAGATTTATCAAATAAATTGCAAAGGTCATTATGGTAGTTTAGAAACTGCCAGATGCTTCAGCAAATGGAACGCCCAATGAATAGCAGCTCAAATAGATTTAAAAAATTTTTTTAGTGGCATCCTTTCACCCAGGCTGAAGTGCAGTGATATGATCATAGCTCATTGCAGCCTTGACCTCCTGGGTTCAAGCAATCCTCCCAACTTAGCCTCCCAAGTAGCTGGGACCAGGTGCATGCCATCATGCCCGGCTAATTTTCTTTATTTTTTGTAGAGCCAGGTTCTCCCTATGTTAGCCAGGCTTGTCTCAAACTCCTGGCCTCAAGTGACCCTCCTGCCTCAGCCTCCAGAAGAGCTGGGATTATAGGCATGAGCCAATGTACCCAACCAGAATTTTAATTCACACCTCTGTAAAAAACCAATGTTTCTGATCAGTGCGCAGTGATTCAGGGGCCCAGGCTCCTTCCATCTCATGGCTTTGCCATTTTCCCACATGTTCCGGAGTCACCTCAATGTCACCATTCACATGGGCCGGTGACTGCAGAAGGATCACGCAGGACCACATGCGCAGAGTCCTTAGAGTCCCTTGGCCAGAAACAAGTCACACAGTCACATTTAGCTGCAAGAGGGTCTAGGAAATGTAGGTGAGCTGTGTGCCCGGGGGAGGAGGAAAAGTTTGAGGAGCTGCAAGTCGATATCTGCCACCAATGTTTACAAGGAGGGGTGCTTGCAGCCAGCCTGAACAGTGTGGCTGGTAATCCCCAAAGCCAGGTCAAGGTCTTCACTGAAACTCATCAGCCATGTAATCCCGTGCTGGAGGGGTGCCCTCCAAATGGTTATGATGGGCATCCTTCATTCCCTGTCTTCTTTATTCTATTAATGGGGAAATATTGGAAAATTTGGGAAGGAGAAGACCCATGGCATTTGGGGAGTTGCAAGAGTGAACGTGGTGGATTTCTGGGTTTTGGACACACCCCAAACCCCTGATCATGCCACAGCCCCATGCCAGCTGACCTAAGGTTTTTTGCCCAACTCAGGGCATTGGGTGATCGAACTCTTCATGACCCTTCCAGGGACTGGAGCCAACAGACTTTTGACTATCTCCTGAGCCACATCCATTCTCCCAATGCTGAAAAACTGGGCCTGTTCCTAATCTCAGGCTACAACCTCTTCCATGAAGCCATTCCGGTAGGTGAGCAGTTCTTGACCGTGAGGGATGATCCCCCAGGGCTGGGGTGGTGAGGGTGAGTGCCGCAGAGCCTTAATCACAGATGAGGGCGGGGTGCTTTGAGTCTCGTAGGCAACAGACTCCTGGGTTCAAAACAGGTTTGGTTTAAATTCTATTTTTGCTCTGAAAATTATTTTTGTTTCAAATTTTGCTGTTCAGTTGGCAGAGGACAAAGAATCTTCTGATGCCCAGGGGAAACTAGCCTTTGATTAGCATGGCTAAAACACAAGCATGTTCTGCAGTGATGGGCACTTGGTGCTGAAGCCAAAAGGTTTCATGTGTCCCTGAAGGTCCCAGGGCTTTTTATCAAGAAGAAATAAAATACTTATCATAGCAAAAACTGCCAAAGCATTTATTATGTGCCAGGCCCAGTCCTAACTAATTTACAGCTAGCGACTCATTTAATTCTCTTTATAACCAGAAGGTAAGGGTTGTCCTTATCCTCACTTAATAGATGAGAAAAAAGAAGCTCCGAGAAATGGAGTAACTTGCCCAAGGCCACAAAGCTTGCCAGTGGCTGAGCTGGGATTTGAATCCAGGCCATCTATGACCACATGCTGCCCAGTGTGCCCACAGAAACAGCACAGCCCTGGGAGGGTTTGCTCAGGCTGCTTGGAGAGGGTGGTCTGGCTCTGTGCCCAGAGCCCTGTGCCAGCTCTTAAGGTTCATTCAACCTTTAGCACTGTGCTAAGGGCTTTATCCACATTATCTGTTACCTTTTATGGGACTAAGAGTATTTTTTTTTTTGAGACGGGGTCTCGCTGTATTGCCCAGGCTGGAGTGCATTGGCATGATCTCGGCTCACTGCAACCTCCGCTTCCTGGTTTCAAACCATTCTCCTGTCTCAGCTTCCTGAGTAGTTGGGATTAGAGGCATGCACTACCATGCCTGGCTAATTTTTGTATTTTTAATATAGATGGGGTTTCACCACGATGGCCAGGCTGGTCTCGAACTCCTGACCTCAAGTGATCTGCCTCCCAAAGTGCTGGGATTACAGGTGTGAACCACTGCACCTGGCCAAGAGTGATTATTAACTCCATGATACAGACAAGGAGACTGAGTCTCAGAGAATTCAAGTAGTAAGTGATGAGGCTGGGGTCTCCGCCCAGGTTGTCTGACACTATGCTCTGTTGCTTTCTCTTATCCCCGGGGACTCTTACTGTTGCTGCTTTCTCTCCCCTATTTCTGACCTTTTCCGTATAACTCACCCTCAGTCTTACTCTTACCCTTACCATAATTAGGGGTTAAGAACATGGACTCTGGAACTGAGCTGTATGGGTTAAAATCTTAACACCACCATTTATTAGCTGTGTGACCTTAGGCGAGTTATTTAATCTTTCCAAGCCTCAGTGGGTCCATCTATAAACTGGGGAAAGAATAGCATCCACCCCAGTGGCTTCTTGTGAAGATTAAATGGACCAGTATAAGTAAAGTGCTTGGAACGGTGCCTGATACGCACTTAGTATGACATATGTCTTTGTCATTATCATTTTTTTTTTTTTTTTGAGATGAAGTCTCGCTCTTTGGCCCAGGCTGGAGTGCAGTGGCACAGTCTCGGCTCACTGCAACCTCCAGCTCCCAGATTCAAGGGATTCTTCTGCCTCAGTCTCCTGAGTATCTAGGATTACAGGCAGGCACCACCATACCTTGCTAATTTTTGTATTGTTATTATTTTTTTAGTATAGATGGGGTTTCACCACGTTGGCCCGGCTGGTCTGGAGTTCCTGGCCTCAGGTGATCCACCAATCTCAGCCTCCCAAAGTGCTGGGATTACAGGTGTGAGCCACCACGCCTGACCCATTATCATTATTATTGACTTCCATCCCTCCTGGTACCCCCTTTGTCTTTCCTCTTCAGGACCCTTCCTGGAAGGACACAGTTCTGGGATTTCGGAAGCTGACCCCCAGAGAGCTGGATATATTCCCAGATTACAGGTGAGTTTATTGTCATAGCCAAAGGGGACCGGGGCCCCATGAGTTAGATAGACCTGTCTAGAAGGCAGCAGAGGGTAGAGGCACCAGATTTCCTGTGCTACCCAGGTCTTGGTACCCTGATCTCCTGGTCCTTGGTCCAGCTCCTTCAAAGAGGCTACCCACTCAAACCTGGCCTTGGGCTGGGAAGGTAGGGGGTATGAAATCACAGATCTCAAGTCCAGAGGCTCCATATCACCATCTTGTTTTGTAGATGAAGATGCTGAGTTTCAGAGAGGCTAAGTGACTTCCTAAGGTCACACAGCCAAGTGGCCAAACTGGGATTCCAACCCAGTCTGTATGACCCCACACCCCTCCTTTCTTTTCTCTACAGCCTGATGCCTCTCTGGTCTTCTCCTCATCCCACCCCACGCCTGAATCCCCTCTACAAATGCACATTCAATCTCCACTTGCATCTTCCAATGTCAGAGATGGTCTTGTCTGATAGAACATTTTTCCTTGCATTGAGCTCAAAACCACATCCCCCCCTTGAACTTCACCTAGTGGTCGTGGTACTACCCTTTGGGCCTACAGAACAACATTGCTCCCACCTCCATTTCACAGCCTTCAAATATAGCCCTGATTTTTACCTTTATTTTCAACTTTTGCCTGCTGTGACTCTAGCTATGGCTGGTTCCACACAAGCCTAATTCTGGAGGGAAAGAACTATCTACAGTGGCTGACTGAAAGGTGAGATTTTAAGCTCCACTTTGAGGGAGGCACCTCCCAGAGACGAAGTTGTAGTAGAAGATGGTTCGTGGGCTTCCCCCTGCATGGACCAACCCCAAGGTTTGAAGAATACCCTCAGGCCTGGTGTGGGAGCTATCCTTGGTCCTGATCACCACTGGGCACAGAGGCAATGGGTCCTGAGCCTAACTGGGCATCAGAACCACCTGGGCAGCTGTTTATACATGACGTCTATTAACAACCTCTTTCAAATCCCTTATATTTGTGTAATAGTTTTAGATGTATTATTTTAAGATTTCCAGATATGTTTACATCATCTGCAAAACATAAGCTACCTTTTATTTTTATCTACCTCTCTCTTTTTTTCTTCTCTAACTGCTTTGGCCAATACCTCCAGAACAATGTTACTCAACCAGATGATATTGGATGTCTTTGACTTGTTCCTCATGTTAATAGGAATCTGGCAGTGTTCTAAATTAGCAAACACTCACTTGAGAGAAACGTTGATATTTATATTCACATACATTCATATTAAGGGAGATTCCATAATTTGTGTGTGTGTGTGTGTGTGTGTGTGTGACGAAGTCTTGCTCTGTAGCCCAGGCTGAAGTGCAGTGGTGCAATCTTGGCTCACTGCAAGCTCCGCCTCCCAGCTTCACGCCATTCTCCTACCTCAGCCTCCTGAGTAACTGGGACTACAGACGCCCGCCACCACCACGCCCGGCTAATTTTTTGTATTTTTAGTAGAGACGGGGTTTCACCGTGTTAGCCAGGATGGTCTTGATCTCCTGACCTCGTGATCCGCCCCTCTTGGCCTCCCAAAGTACTGGGATTACATATGTGAGCCACCAGGCCAGGCCTGATTCCATACATTTTTTATATATTACTATTTTATTAAGATTTTTAGGCCAGGCATGGTGGTTCATACCTGTAATCCTAGTACTTTGAGAGGCCAAGGTGGGCAGATCACTTGAGCCCAGGAGTTCAAGACAAGCCCAGGCAACATGGCAAAACCCTGTCTCTACAGAAAAATGCAAAAATTAGCCAGGCATAATGGTGTATGCCTGTAGTCACAGCTACTTAGGAGGCTGAGGTGGGAGGATATCTTGATCCCGGGAAGTAGAGGCTGCAGTGAGCTGTGATCACGCCACTGCACTCTAGCCTGGGTGACAGAGTGAGACCCTGTCTCAAAAAAAAAAAGATTTAAAAAATATGGAATGTATGGTGGCTTTTATCAGATGACCTCAGAAGATTTTTTAAAATGTAGATTTCAGGACCCCACTTTATGCCTGCCAAATTAGAACTTCTGGGATAAGGTTTATAAATTTGATTTTTCTTTGAGACAAAATCTTACTCTGTCACCCAGGCTGGGGTGGGGTGTAGTGGCATGAACACAGCTCACAGCAGCCTCAACCTCCTGGGCTCAAGCAATCCTCCCACCTCAGCCTCCAAAGTAGCTGGGACCACATATGCATGTGCCACAATGCTTATCTAATTTTTAAATATTTTTGTAGAGATTGGGTCTCACTATGTTGCCCAGGCTGGTCTCAAACTCCTGGGCTTAAACAATCTTCCTGCCTCAGCCTCCCAAAGTGCCAGGATTACAGTCGTGAGCCATCAGGCCCAGCAGAAATTTGCATTTTAAGAAGCTCCCTGATGATTCTAATTATCAGCCACGTTTTGGAATAATTGTACTAAGACATGGCTATTTCTTCTAACTTGAGGACACATGACTCTTGTCTAGTCTTTTCCAGGAAAAACATGCCCATGGTGTTTCTATCTTGAGAAAATGATGGAAACGAGATAGTTCTGAGAGTATGCTTCACCTTCTTTTTGGCTTATTTCCTGTTCTTTGGATGTTTCCAGTTTCTTTCTTTCTTTCTTTCTTTCTTTCTTTCTTTCTTTCTTTCTTT